GCTCCCAGGACTCTGGGTGGCTTGGAATAATGAATGCTGAAAGCATAAATCAGCTGCAACAAAGCTGGAAAAACCAGAACAACATCATAAAAATAATAAATTCCTCCTGGCCAGAGCGATGTCAGCAAGAGCAAAAGCCACAGGAAAACTATCCCCGCTCTAACCTTGCATGCCGTTCAACATTTTAACTCCAGTCCCTACTTAAGCCATCTTAATGGCCACGCAGAAGATCCGAAAGGAGGAAGCTGTGGGCACCCCCACGTGCGTCACAGGGAAAAATGGCCTTTGGGTCCGCAGTCCCTTGACCTCTTGCTGGGCTGGGACCCTTCCCTGGAAGATCACGCCGGACCGGCAGAGTCGGCTTTGTGGCACTGACTTTTCTGTCCGTCTGTTGCTGTTTTTTGCTGAAAGCAGAGAAACGTATTCCGCTATTTAGGAAGGAGGTAGCTGAGATTCAGTCTGACCCTCACAGGCAATGCTCTTCGGTGCTGTAACAAATTGTAATCAGGATTAGCACGGTCTTTGATCATAGATGTGGTTGTTAACGGGGAAAAAAGGCCCTGTTGAACATGCCAATGTTCCAGCTCTTTATTTTTGTGTTTAATATCAAAAACAAGCCTGTTAGGAGGAGTAGATTGTGGAGGAGGAGGTTTACACTGCCTTGGCGTGATGAGCTCAGAGCTCTCCACACTCATCTGCCCTACTCACAAGTAGAGGTCAGTGCCGGAGATGAGAAAGATGACAAAACCGCTGTTTCGACCGGCAGCTCCGTCTCGACTTTCCTCTGCCTGCCCATCCTGGTCCAGGTCCTCGGTGTGTTTCTTGCCCGTCTGGGAGCCCAGTTTAGGCCAGAGACGTTGGCAGGGTTCTTTGCCTCCCGGGCCCAGTCTGACATTGTTGTACAATCAGCAGATCTGCCAATATCATGGCTGTTTGATTTGTGGCTTTAATTTGTTCTTCTTCTCCTTCTTCTTGAATCTTTGTTTTGCTGTATTTTTTATTTATTGCAGTTCTTACCACACAGTAGCTTCCAGGTCTGTCATTGGAAAGCTGTATTCTTAATTTCTCTACATCCATTTCAGTCTTCGCAAAACAGCCGGTTCAGAACCTAGCAAGAGCAATATAGGTGTTGTGATTTTCCCATGGCTTAAGCCTTCTCTACAACAAAAATGATTAATTCTGCTCTGGAAATGTGGAGACAGCTGGGCTTTTCTCCAGATATCCATTATGTAATCATTTTCTTATAGCTCTACAGTGCTTTGCTGATTGCAGAGGGGTAGGGTGAAGAAGAGAAATGGATCTCTGCTTCCTGAAACAGTCACACGAGGACACCTCAAATTCCTAGGTGAGCTTAGTGCTGTTTACGAGATCCAGGCCAGGGAGAGCTTTCAATCTTGGAGGAGGACCAGACACATCAGCAAAGTCCAGAAGCTCCTGAGAACCAGCTAGTTTTTTTTTTTAAAAGAGCCAAACACCCCCAAGATCCTTGGCCCATCTCCCCCATTTTGCCGGGTTCCAGGTGTGTCTTACTCCAACTCCAGAGCGGTATGTTTGGGGAGGGCTATTCTGATCATCAGCTTGAGCATGTGGGAGTGGTGCTTCTGCCCAAATGTCACGAACTCGGGTATATTTTCAGTAACGGTGAAACCTGACTTAAAGAGATGGGTGTTAAACATTTCCAGAAACAACAGCCTCAGTTGGCTTGCAAGGAGGCGCATCAAAGCGCTAGCAAGGCTACCTTTGGCTTTCATTTTTAAATCCTTTCCTAGGAAAAGCTCCTTTTTTATTTATTCTGCCAGACTCACATTAGGCTGTTTTAGAGAGACAACATCTCACCCAGAAACAATTCCAGTAAAGAGTTCGTAACGCCTTCCGGTGAGCCTGATTTTTAGATCAGATTGCCCTGAGGGTGGGAAGGGGCTTGATCCGAACATCCACCTGCTTGTTGACCTGGAATTTCAGCCACTTCCCCGGCAGCCGGGGACGCCTAGGTGCTCAGGGAGGCTTTGGGTGCGTGGTGCTCCAGCGGAGTAACGCTCGGAATATTTTGTGTATTCTCTCATAGGCAGCAGTAAGAATGAGAAAGAAAGAATGAGAAAGCCCGTCGTTTTGCATCAAGGCCCCAGTGTAGGCGGGGTGTCAGCTCTTGCCGAGGGCTACCTCATGCCCAATTTACAAGCAAAAACAAGGCCAAAGGAGTGAGTTTTTTAAACGTGCTTTTGTAAAATAATCTCACAGCAAACAGTGGGAGCCGCAGCTAAAGACACGTTCTGCAGCCTGTCCAGCCCGTATGTATAAGTCCCTTAGATGGGACTCGAACAAAGACACAACAGCAGCGGGGGCACTTCAGCACAGCCCATGAGTAACAGAACAACAGCAGCAAAAATACATTTCTCCAGCTCTTGGCATCTTCATAACATGCATAGTCGTGCAGCATAATTTTTGCCGTGGGCAACTTGCCTGCAAAGGTCAGCAGGCAACATCCTTCTTGTGCTGGGCAACCTTCACAGCATAACAGCACTACCTGTCCATGTGCCTGAGCATGGGTGTGCCCTTAGTACTTCGCTTGAAAAAGAGGCACAGTGTAACACCGAGGCCGTGAACTCTAGTTTTTCTCTAGCAAATCACGAGGAAGCAGCAGTAAACCTGCTCGGAGTTTCCCCCCCTTCTATCCAAGTGGCTCTTTGCTTTTGAACATGTGCTTCACTGATTCTCCTTCACCCCCCCCTCCCCAAATAGCTCTAGTCGCTGCCTGGAAGGATGAGATTTTACCTGAAATGCAAGGCAAGTTGACCGTGCAGGTTTTGTGAAAACTTGCCTTCATAACAAGTCATCCACGGATTGACTTCACTCAAAGTCTTAAACTTTCTTATTGGATATAATTGTTATTAAAGAATTTTTTAAAGGAATAAAAGCAATAGAAATTTTGAAAGAAAAAGGTTAGGAAAGTGAAGTATTAAGTAAGTGAAAAAAGGTGCAAAGAAAGAAAGAGAAAAGAAAGAGAAAGAGAGGGGGAAAAAGGAAAAAGTAAAGAAAAGTTATAACGAAGCGGCTTCCGACCTTCTTGACAGTGGCTATAAATACATCTAACTTTTACCCGCTCCCTCTAAGGTTACATCATAATTTCCTTTCCATAGTCTATGCTTTCTAAACATAAAACCCCAAAATCACCAGTTCATTTTTTTTCTTTTTTCAGCAAAAAGTCCATAAGGGGTTTCCAGTCACTAATAAATGTAGTAGTTGACTTTTCTCTAATCAGATAGCTTAATCAGTAGAAGCGAATATGTGCAGCTCAGGGCTGAACTGCGGAGTCCTCGGGTTCTCTGAGCTGGGTTCTTTTCTTGCAAACGTCTCGTTACCCGGCCAGGTCACGTCTTCAGTGCTGGCAAGAAAACAACCCGGCTCAGAGAACCCTGAGGACGCCACAGACAGGTTGATTTTGCCATCTCTGCTGCTGCCGCCATCTTCACCAACCATTCCTCTGCTGTGGGTATTTCAAAGTCTTTCCATTTTTGTGCATATAATGGTCTCGCAGCAGTAATCATATATAAGAATAGTCTTCCGTGGCTTTTTTCTAATTGTCCGCCCATCAATCCCAGCAAAAAAATGTTCTGGTTTCAGTTGAATATTAATTTGTATAATTCTTTGTATCGTGTGTATTGGAACCCAACATTTTCTGGCTTTTTTACAAGTCCATCAGGCGTGATAAAATGACCCTTCAACTTGTCCACATTTCCAACATAAATTTGAAGTATCTTTATATATTCTAGGCAATTTTTCTGGAGTCATATACCATTAAATTAAACTTTCTGTTTAAGTTTATTTCAATTTATAAATAAAATAGCAGGCTTTTTTTTTTTTAATGTGGCTGTCCTTTAAAGAAGCCCATCATGTTTTGCTGCTCAGTTCCACAAAGGTATTCTGAAATACCTGCCTTTTGCGCTGGGACTATTACTAATTTCCAGCCTAAAAGGAAAAGTTTGATGTTTAAGTTTTAAATGTTACAATGTAGCTTCCTCCAGTCCAGTAGTTCTCCCCTCAGTGTGGTCTGGGGATCCCTGGGGGTCCCAGAGACCCTTTTAGGGCGTCCGTGAAGTCAAATGAGTAAACATTTTAAAATTTCTCCATTTAATTTCTAATACAGTAAATATTGATAGATATAAACCACATAAACCAAAGCTCTTTGGGGTTCTCGATCATTTTTAATAGCGTAAAGGGGCCTAGCAAAAAAGAGGACATGACCATGTTTGTGCACGCGCTTGTTGGAACAGTCAGTGGTTGCTATCTTGTTTCTGAACTCTGTTCGCAAGATGCAGAGCACGGAAGAAATAACGCATGGGATGTTCAGCCCAAGACCGAGGCAGCCAGGCATTTTGTCATTTTTTTAAGGTCATGGTTTTCCCCCTTAAGAAACGATTTGGCAGAACTAGAACCTGTGGGTGGTCGTGATAAGAAAGGTCGAGAGCCGGACCACAGGCGGCCTCCAGAGGTTTTGCAGGAGACTGGCAAGGTGGCGCCCGTGGCTCACCGGCAAGAACATCGGTGCCTGTCAATGCTTGCTGGAAGCCCCTGAACGGTCCCCTGGAGGTTGGGGCTACCATTGCGTCTGGCATAAAACAGCGCTCCATTCCACGAGGAGAACCTCAACGCATCCCTGAAGCACGGGGGTGGTTTGGGGACGCTTTGCTGCCCGAGGACCCGGGGGACTTGCTGTGATTGAAGGAAGCCTGGCGTCTGCTCTGTATCGATGAGTTCCACGGGAGAAGATCAGCCTGTCTGCCCACTAAAGGTGGAGGGCAGCAAAACAGTGATCAGAAGAACCTTTTTCGTGTTTTGGATCGGCCACGTCAACCTCCCAGCCTGAACCCCGTAGAAATGTAATGGCAGGGCCTGAAATGAGCAGTCTGTGCTAGAAAACCCTCAAATGTTATTGAGTGGAAGCAGCTCACTGTGGAAGAGCAGGCCAACATTTCTGCACCCAGATAATGTGTTTACTTGAAGGGTGCAGTTGTTCTTATCATAAGCACAAAGTAAACAACACCCTATTAAAAGACACCTCACCAGAGGGATTTCCCTTTACACACAAATTTACACATTCTGTAAAATCTGTATGCTGAAGGAGGACATACTTAATTGTGGTAAAGGTGATTTTCTTAAATGTTTTCTGATGATTTATAAAGAACTACGCAAGTATGGGGATGGGAAATTCCAGAAAGAGAAATCTATTGTTTAAAAGAGTACAGGTATGTTGGGAATGCAAAAATCCTCCCATCAAGCAGCACAGAATTGGGGAATGGTATGATCTCTACAACTGCATATCATTTTGTGTGAAACTTCACCGTTATTTTCTTTTGGTGAAGGAAACCTGTGAAACATGTAGTCCAAGCCATTTTTTAGCCAGCGTAATCATTTCTGGCACATGGCCCTGAATCGGTACGTCAAATACTTCTACCCCCTTTTAAGCTGAATTTGAGTCATTGCCCTGAGTCAGCCAGGGCGGCTTGGAGGCTCAGTTGTTGTTACCATGAAGATCAGGGGCCACAAACACAGGAAGGGGCAGAATTAACGAAGCCCAACAGCAATGCAAGGTTCTTACTTAGTTCTGAAATTTGAATCAAATGTGTAATAACCAAAAAGTGTTGAAAGCAAGTAGACTTTTTATAGCTTTTAATGGGCAGCCTTTTTAAAATTTTGATTTAAGAGGACATGTCTTTGAGAGGCATAGTACATGGACTAATGTGATTGTTTTAGAAGAATGTACTTCCTTTGTGACCACAGAGCCAAGGAATGTGGCCTGAGGAAGATGTTCCCAGTTCCAAGGGAGAGTTTGTAGGTTCGTGGATTGACTGTTCCAGGCTCACTAATCAGAAACAGAGACAGGCAGTGACAGGAAGAAGGCAGATTTGTATAGGAAACCATAGAGCAAATTATCTCCCACATAAATGCACAAGCTCACTTGAAGCCTGGCATACTCATTTTTTATTCATTCATTAAAAGTGCCACCTGGATTTTTTTTTTAAAAAATCACCAAATTTTTTAATGATTAGGAAAGCAGAAGATGAAGCCAAGAAAAATTTCTTGTTTTTTCTTGATTTTTCTTGTCCTTGCTTTAAAGGTCTAAGCTGCCTAGGGGCATTTGGAGTCAGGTGGCTTCTAAATTATATAAATTAAAATTAAAATTAAAAATATTATAAAAACTGCATTCTAAAATTGGACAGCAAAGCTCTGAGTTGAAGTCCACACATCTTAAAGCCGCCAAGGTTGAGAAACACTGTCTTACATGGTGTTTTGATACCAATTTCTGATGACGATAATATCAATTCTGTTAAAATAATCAGAAGTTGATTGGGGTGTGTGTGTGTGTGTGCATATTCATTCATTCATTTGATGTATATATGTCTTACCTTACCACATTAGTCTCTATAATTCAGAGATTTTAAAAAATAATTTCTCATAAGATACGCATACATTGGAAGAGTCTCCCTACGGAGGCTGTGGGTTTTCCATCTCTGGAGATTTTTAAGAAGAGGCTGGGCACCCCCCACGGAAGGATGGTTTCGAGGGTTGAACTAGATCAGTGATGGCAAACCTGTGACACACATGGCACAGGTGACACGCCATAACATTTTGGGTGACACACCAACATTCACCAACACCCGATGACAACTATTGTCCCAGTTTGAGTTATGAAAAAAACTGAGTTTGTTTTACTTGTATTTCATTTTTTGTAATTATTTGATGTTTTGTCGAAGGCTTTCACGGCCGGAATACGATGGCTGGTGTGGGTCTTCTGGGCTGTGTGGCCGTGTTCTAGAAGTTTTGTTTCCTAACGTTTCGCCAGCATCAAAATCCTATTTGAAAACACAGAGATACTGGACAACACCACAGCCACTATACCAGGCTATACCGGGAAGCCATTGAGATTCACAAGCACCCGCACAGTTTCAATAAAAAAAGAGGAGAGTCTAAAAATCAACAAAACCTGGCTACCAATCCT